CAAACCACAGAAACCACACACACAAAGAAACACGACTTTGTGCCAGTCAGGAAGCCGACCGATCCATTGACAATAAAGCAACCGTTAGCTAACGACGCGAATGCATTCACCTCACTCAGCCAGATGCAATATGCCTCGCACGTGCTGAGTTCCACAGACACACAGTCGCGCTCACGCACAGTCTCACATGCTCCGTTTTTTATACCCGAGTGCATACCCGCTAGCACACGTCCTTCGCCTTATCGCACATTCTTTGCAAATAAGTGAAACCCCGCCCCTTGCTGCAAACATTCTGAAATCTCAGATCCTGCTCTATTGTTTCTCTTTCTTTTGTTTAACCCTCCACTGCTGTGCAGGCTGGCTTAATGCACTCACGCTTACGTTTTCCCAAACTGGTTCTCTGTCATTTTTCCTATAGGTTTATAAAAGATATTTTTTGAAGATGTTTTCGCAACGTATGCAGTTTGTTATTCTTAATAGGGGGAAGCATATTATTACGGCTTTGTTCAAATGTCTCATGAATTAGCTATTTCTTTTCTTTTCTTTTCTTTTCTTTTTTTTTTTTGGGGGGGGGGGGAGGTTGTCTGGACCATACAAACGTAAATGGAATCGATTCAGCATTGATAGGGTTAAATTTGCTTCAAATCTCGTTTGTTTTCTATTAGACAGATTTTGTTTTCGAGGGAAGCGAAAATGGGTTCAACTATTAGCCATTATAGTATCGTGTGCTTCTGAAGAGCCTTGGATGTGTTTATAAGTCGAAATATTACGAGGTATTTTTTTTCTTTTTAAAAAATAATTTGGATTGATGGGGTGACTATCTTTTAAATGTAAGCCGCCAGCAATAAGACTTATATGAGTTAAAGCATCCAGGAATGCCCAGCCTTATCAAGTACTATAAATGTATGTTTCCACGCAGTTTAATTTTAATTTTAGCTTAAAATTGGTAAACGTTTTACTGTTTTTGCAACACAATTAGGTCGCATAAGAGCTGAAGACTAGAAGTGTAACTAGAGAGTAACGTGCAATGAAAAGAAGGGGTAGAGATAAGATAGATGATTGCTATTAATGAAGGAGCAAACCATACCAGAGCGCCCGTCAACTACCCACCAAATACATTGCCATGTGGTTTTGCAAATATAAACCTGAACTTTCGATTTACTTCGGCTTGACATTTGACCTCATCAACTCGCTGGCTATATGACCTAGTTTAATTTATCGTACGTTTAAGCTTCTATCACAAAATACCCTGTTGTTCTTTGTTCGTTAGCCCCAGGGTTATACAGTTGACACTTGCAAAGAAACGAGTGCGGGTGGTTGGCGGATGCTCTGGTGTGGTTTGCTCCTTTTTTCCTATCAAACATCTATCGCACTTATCTTCCTCCTTCCTTTAAATTTTATGTTACTCTCTTGTAACACTTTCTCTAATCTTCAGCACTTAAATGATCTTATTGTGTTGCAAGTGCCGTAATACTCTGACTAAAACCAAAACTAAACTTCAAGTTTGCCAAGAAATGAATGTAGCAAACTGTATCAATTATAATCCTGTGAAGCAGGCATGGGAAAACTGCGGGCCTGGTCCAGAATCGGCCGGTAAGCAATTTCAATCTGGACGACGAGTCGACCCATTAATTACAATAAAAGGGGTCTGTCATGATTTGAGGATAAAAAAAAAGAAAAATAGTCCATCTTGAAATGAAAATTAATAGTTTCCAGCAAGCAGGAAGCGATAGCTCTAATTTCTCTCATGAAATACTCCTGGGTGACATATTTTGCTAGTCTGTTTCAGATACACTTATTTAGAGTTTGGATATTCAAACCCATTTCACCTAATACTTTTCTCCTGCTTTGGCCGGCGAGATATTCGGGAATCACTTAATCTAGCCCACGAAATGGACATACATACCCTTAGCTGCCATAAAGTATAAAGCTTATAAAGCTGGGAGTTTTGTGCCAGTATACTTCGCCTTGACGTTAGTGGCTTCTTCTATCGTCTGCGCGATCAGCCACCAAATCTGCTGACGAAGACTTGCAGACGTGAGCTCCCGCAGGGATGCTTGACCTTCGGCTGGCACAAATTATTGGCTCTTCTACCTGCATTCTAAGGACGTGAGTTCGATTCCCAAGAGCGTAAGGTCATATCACTGAGTGCACCCATCTTCCTACTGCAGTACACTATCCCACAAAACCTGTGTGGATGGTTGGTGGGTGCTCTGACGTAGTTTATTCCTTCTTTCCTGTCCAACATATATCGTTGTTATCTCTGCTTCTTTTATTTATATGTTACCCTCTCTTTCTCTCTCTCTCTCTCCCTCTCTCTCTCTCTCTCTCTCTCTCCCTCTCTCTCTCACTCTCACTCTCTCTCACTCACCCTCTCTCTCTCTCTCTCTCTCTCTCTCTCTCTCTCTCTCTCTCTCTCTCTCTCTCTCAACACCTTTAATATTTGGGACGTGTATGACCCATTTGCGTAGCCAGTGCTGTAAAACTTTTACTAAAACTAAAATTAAACAGGCATGCAAGGTGGAAGCTGCCCGCCTCTTAAATGATCTAAATGATTTCAGTGAGAGTTTCTATCCATTACACGATAAACGACAGTGATTAAATGCATTTTAAAAGTTTATTTAAAATGGAAAGCAGTAAGCGGAATGTCACCTGTAATTACTTCTTTGGCCCCCTGAGTAAGTGCATGTTTGGAAGATCCTATCTCATTTGGGAAGACATTTTAATGTTTTAGCAAATTTGGCTGTCATACTTAATTGAAAAGTGTGTGTGTGTGTGTGTGAGAGAGAGAGAGAGAGAGAGAGAGAGAGAGAGAGAGAGAGAGAGAGAGAGAGAGAGAGAGAGAGAAGGGGAGGGAGGGAGGGAGAAGGGAGAAGACGAAAGAGAACCCAAGATAAGACGTAAGCACAAGTGAATGAGTGTGTGAATGCGCGAGAGCACGGGATCACATACTGGGTGCCAATTAGTATCCTTTTCCGAAAAAATCTTCCTTTTGAACCCAAATTTACTAGGGTTAATAACAGTGTTGCGTAGAATTTCATAGAATTCCATTTCCATTCTTAAACTAAATTTCGATTTCGCCACTGGAATACAATTACATAGCATGGTAAACGTGCCAAGCATGTGTGCCTCTGGAATAGGCTGTTGGTGAAAGGGTAAACAAGAGAGGCCATGAGGGTGAGATACAAAACGAGGAGTATGATGGAAGGGAGGAAGGAGAGAGAGAGAGAGAGAGAGAGAGAGAGAGAGAGAGAGAAGGAGAGAGAGAGAGAGAGAGAAAGAGAGAGAGACAGAGAGAGAGAGAGAGATAGAGGGGGGGGGGCGGCGGTGATAGAAAGAGGGAGAGACGGACAGAGGGATACAGAGAGTTGTCAGAGTGGAAATTGTGAAATGGCACAGGTTTAACGTCCCTACTAAAGCTATTAGGTTATTTCAGAAGCAGGGCCTCCGAGTTTAAGGTCCATTTCGGAAAAAGACCAAGCCAAATTGGAAATTCATGTAAAATGCCTTTCTAATTTCTAATGACACAATTTGGGATCGAGCTGAGGCCAGAACCCTCGAACCTGCAATCTCACGAAAATAGGTCTGCTAGTCTAACCACCAGGCAACCGAC